AAAATTGAACAATGTCCCATCGGCGTCCCAATGTTTTCGATGTATAGACAATACGTCTGTTTCCTTTGGTTACAAATCTAACAAAGCTCACCAAAAATTAGGACTTTTCCTGAGACATCTTCTATTGATTCAAGTGCAATTCAAGAAATTCAATGAGATGCGTTCAAAATTCAACTAATTCAAAGCACTTCCCTTCAATTCTCGGGAGTTTGCGCCTTTATTCCATAAGGCGATAGGGTGGTGCGATATATTCCTTGCTTTTACTAAATGTGCATGCTATAATATGACAAAAAGCTAATTTCATAAGCTGTAAAGCTTTTAAGACAACGGGAAAAGAATGCCGACCAGCTATCGGCTTGATTACAATATATAGACAATTAATTTTTTTAGGAGTTTTTGGTCTTTAGTCGGAAATCAAGTGCTTGTGTTTTGACCTTGTCGAGCTCTAGGCCAAAGCTCTTCCATACTCATATGACCAGAAATTTCCGAATTTTCATTTATTTTCATTCAAAAATTTCGTTTGGTAGTTTAAGTTCTGCCTCATTATGGCTCTAAAACAGAGCAATGTTCTATACTTTCTTCATTAGAAGTTAGCCCATGTATTCCACATGAAAACCATGTTTTATAGAAGTCAATTACAGACCTACCCATAATGAAAACTGAAAGTTGCTCCGCTCGAAATGCACTCCTTTAGTCCTTATTTCATCCTTAAAAGAAGTTATTCTCTAATGGATTTCGGCACAATGCTATTACATAAAAAGTTTTACATTCATAAAGTTCAATAAAAAGTAGCATAAAAGCAATCCATCCCGACTCTGACGAATTAACTCTCATTTGCACGTATGCTCAGTCTAATTAGGAGAAAATGGAATTTTTGGAAAAAAGAGGAGTCTCTTCCTGCTTGAAACAAAAACATATTAATCCAGCTCTTGACTTGCCAATCTTCTGCACTTCCGAATGAATCACTCACTATTTCCTTTTCCTATTCGTTCTGCTTCCAATGGAAATAATTTTAGAATAAAT